AAAATTATACCTATTTCTTCTTCTTAAGCATTAAACATGGCTGCTCTGAACTAAGAGGGAGGAAAAAAGGACATTCGGTCCGCTTTTCGGGTGACGTGTGAGGAAAGGATTAAAAAATTGGAGGCAAGTTAAAACTGAACTCTGTGCCAGAGACAGAAGGTAGTGCTCAAAAAATGGAAAATGCTTGGGTTCCTAGTTAGGCTGGGCTAAGTGAACTGCATATCCTGAGATGCAGTAAGTTCTGGGGATACAGATGAACCTATTTCATTGCTTGAATCTCTAAATTTATTTTAGATGTTTTTTGACAGAGAAGACAAGATTTTCTGTATCATGTCAGAAGGGAATCAGAAGGATACACCAGGACCCGCTATAATAAAATGTGAGAAACTTTGCAACTCTGAACAAGTTACTTAGAATTTCTGAGATTGAGTTTTCTGATCTATTATATAAAACGAATAACTTACTACAAGAGTTATTGGAAGGCTTAGAAAAGATGTATATGAAGTACTCAACAGAGTAGTTATTAAATTATTATTAAAGATTATTTGGAAAACAGGCCCAATCCGTGGGGCCTTTTGCTAATAAGGAAGGCAGCAAGTAAAGCATGAGTCTGAGAAGAAGCTTTCAGGCTACCACGAGAGAAGCTTCTGTTGGCTTTGATAAGGATTTTTAAGTGCAGGTATTCAGAGGGTAGCTGGATAAAGAAGTTTGGAATCCAGAAGTAAAATCTGGAATGGAGACAGGATTTTTTTTTTTTTTTTTTTTGCAGTCTTTGGCCAGGGCTGGGTTTGAACCCACCACCTCCGACCTCCAGTATATGGAGTTGATGCCCTACTCCTTTGAGCTACAGGTGCCACCTGAGACAGAGATTTGCTTGTCAGTCATCTGGATTTTTGTATGTATTAGTCACAGCAACAGGGTTTGAACAGAAATCAAGAGCAAGTGTACACAAGGAGAAAAGAGGGCTTAGGTCTCAACCTGGGGGAATAACAGCACTAAACAAACAAGAAAAGGAAGCAAATGTTCAGGAAGAGCTGGAGAGTAGTGGGCAGAGAAGTAAAAGAGACCAAAAGAAATGAGAGAACATTTCAAGAAGGATCTCTCAAATGCTACAGAGAACTGAAATGAGATTCTTCATCAAAACTCCTAGACATCTA